CCAAGAATACGCCATTGTTTCCAAGAAATTACAGCCAAGATTTTTATTAGATCTAGGCATCGATCTAAATCGTCGGAATTAGCCTAGTGCAGTACATGATGTGTAAGACAGACCAAGTCAGACCATCAATGATTTATTTATAGAGGCACCAGACATCCATGTCCAGGTGCTGTTTTAGACCGACCAAGTCTCAAGTTTTTCAAGGTATTCGCAATTGAATGGGCTATTGTCCAAACGAAAACAATACGGTTAAATCTATAAGATTAGAGACTTGCCTCTGTGTTGCATCAGTTTCGATTCATCCAAGTTGGCTGCTGTAGCTTATGATTTGATGATGACTGAACAGGAATGATAATAGATCTACATAATGGCTCATGTGGTATTTGATGTTACTATCAATGGGTTTAAGCTGTGCACGCTATCAATTACTGCTACATGTACTAATCAGTGAACATTTTGTTTCATTTTTCTGTTGACCTAAACAATGTCGCATCTTAACTTGGCCAAGACTTAACTCGTTTGTTGTCGCAAAACATTTTCCATGGTACTTAAGCCCTGGTCACAGGTTTTCGAATACTGGTGGACAAGGGTGACTAATGCCACTGGGGATGACAAAGACCAGTAACAAGTAAAATATTTACTCCATTTTCCAAGTGGATTTTCTTAGAATCTACTTATTTTCATGTAAAATGCGGTTCTTTTTATTTTAATTATTAATCGGCATCTTTTTATAATATTCAACCCCCTCAACAAAACAAAACATAATAATAGCTCTGAAGTCATTACTTTTGTGCAGAGTTACGCTTGAAATCGAAAAGTTTGCCCATTTCTGTTAAAACGTGGTCCGACATGGTCCTGTATCACTTTGGAAGATATTTTTCATAAAATGTACTTTAACTTTTATATTATTTTTAATATACTTTAAAACTTTATCTCCTATTTTTAGTTTTATAAATTTATTTATGTGGCTGAGGTGGTCTTTGTCACCAGGCTCTGGAATGGTTGATCCGAGGTGACTCCCTTTTTGAAAACTTCATTTTCAACTCAATTTGCCTGTCTATAAGTTCATTCTTATTCTTTAGAGTATTTATTTTGCAGGAGAAGCTAGTGAACCAGAAGAACCAGGAGAAACAATCCACGAGGCCCATCAAAGTGCCCCTGCCTCTGAGGGGGGAAGTTCTCAATCTGAGACTGAGGCGGAGAATTGCAAAATTTTGCAGACATTTATTTTTTAAACATGTTGCTATTTATGAGGCTATACTATAATACATTTGATGTGTCGTCATATACACTTGGCTTTGTTTCCAGTAGATATCTACTGTCCTGTGTCCATAATTATTTTAAATAAAAACAACAATCGTGTTTTGTTTTATTTTAACCCTGTGGTTCAGATCTTATGCTAGCTTAGTTTTGTCAAAGTATCAGTGTGAGTTTGAGAATGTTCTATTTTGAAATGGCACCAAATACATGTCAGATGATACTGCCTTGCAAATTACACCCGAAACTTTCTGACGCTACTTTGTCCGATTGGCCTTTTGGGGTACTGTACTGTACTGACAGTTTGATGCGTTCAAACATTATAGTCACATCAAGCATAAGATGCTATTTCCAGAGGTCTTATCTTAGTCACCCCAGGGAGGGGATTACTAATACCATGCTGTTTTATAAGAGAGATTTTATAGTGCGTTCTTTGTCACCTCATGCC